GGAAAAAAAATTTATTTTTTTTTTTTTTTTTTTTTTTTTCTTATTTTCTTTTTTTGAGAAATGATCTGTCCCAAATTATTACAACTTTTAAAACGTTGAGTACTTATGACGTGTGTGCAATAGGATACCAAGGGACATAATGCACCTTGTGCCCACAACACTACTCCATAGCTTGGAAGGAATGACAGGCTTAGAATGGGAAAAGCTACTCAAATTGCAGTGTCAAGATGGATCATTCTTGTTCTCTCCATCCTCAACTGCCTTTGCACTCATGCAGACAAAAGATGATAATTGCTTGAGATATCTAAGTAGAGCTGTCGAAAGATTCAATGGGGGAGGTAAAGTTAAACTAAAAATGGATAAGATATAAGAACACAGAAATGGAGCAATGAGTTGGACTATATGGATGGATGGATTAGATTTTTTAAAAGTGGATTATATGTATGGATGGATAAGATTTTTTTAAAAGTTGATCTAACCATTGATTTGTGTATTCGCAGCAAAATTGCTTGGATATAGAAGTTCACTTTTTCTTCTTTATTTTAAATATTCTAATTCCATGTAGCCTTTTTATTAACATTCAGTTCCCAATGTGTACCCGGTGGACTTATTTGAGCACATTTGGGCTGTTGATCGGCTTGAACGCCTTGGAATCGCCCGGTATTTTCAGTCTGAGATTAAAGAATGTGTTGATTATGTCTACAGGTATAATAATATTATAATAATAATAATAGTGTACTATAAATATTAAGTGCAAGAGAACCACAAAATGAGTCATATAGTTAAAACTAATTATATATGTCTTGTGAAAAATCTTGATGAAACTTCAGATATTGGACCGAAGAAGGAATCTGCTGGGCAAGAAATTCCCCGGTTCATGACATTGATGACACCGCCATGGCTTTTAGGCTTTTAAGATTGCACGGCCACCATGTTTCTGCCGGTGGGTTGACCATGCTGTAATCATCACTTTTCTTTTCTTTTTTCTTTTGAAATTTTTGAATTACTATTGTTTTTGAGAAATTTCACTGTATTGGAATTTTTTTTTTTTATTCATATTTTTGGACAGATGTGTTTGGACATTTTAAGAAGGGTGGAGAGTTCTTCTGCTTCGCGGGGCAGTCGAATCAGGCAGTAACTGGAATGTTTAATCTGTATAGGGCTTCTCAGGTTTTGTTTCCAGGAGAAAAGATTCTTGACGATGCCAAGAAATTCTCAGCCAAATTCCTGAGAGAGAAACAAGCTATTAATGAACTCCTAGATAAATGGATAATTACCAAGGATTTACCTGGTGAGGTATGAATATCATTCATTACTTAATTCAGTTTTAAATAGATTTGTTAATTTTGTAGAAACATACTTTTTTACTAAAAAATTATTTTTGTAGAAACATACTTAATTCAGTTAATTTTGCAAAAAAAGAAGCTAGTTTGAAGAAAATAAACACCAAAAAATATTTTTAAATTTTAAAAAATTAGTTTTTGCCCCCCAAAAAAATTATATTGAAACAATAAAAGTGTTTTCTATTCATTTGTTTTTTACCCAACAACTTTTAAATTTTTTTGAAAACTCAACCAAAGCAGAGTATTTTTTTCGTCTTTAATGAATTTTTTTTAAAAAAATTGTTAAATTATTTTACCTGTCGTTTAAGATGGGAAGGTCCTAAGAATTTAAAACATTTGTCTAAATTTAAAAAAAAAAAACACTCCAGATAATAAATAAATAAACTACGAATTTTGACTTTTTACCGTTTTATGTAAACTTTTTTAAAGTATGGTTCTCTCTTAAATTGTTTTAAGGATCTTAGAATAAAATTTAAATATATAATAATAAAAGAAACGAAAAAAACTGTTTAAAATATATTTACTACGCTAGCAACCACTGGGGAAAAAAAATTATTGAATTTTTTGATTCCATGTAATAGAAATTCAATTGCGAATGATTTTTGTAATTGATCTTTATATTTAGGAAGGATTCTAAACAAATTAGGATTGTTGGTTGTTTATTATCGATAATGATCATCTAATATTCAAAATAAAATAATAATTACTATTCATGAAGAAAAATTATAGAATGATTTTGGAACAAATTCACATGGTATCTCAATTTGTTTTGTATCGGTTGATATAGTGGGACTTACTATTTTTCTGTCAATTTTTAAGAGATAACTGAACATGTCTTACAGAGTAAATGGTGTGGAACAATAATTCAAAATTACCAAATAACCTCCCTCACAATGGCTCAATGAGTGGTTAGACTAAGAAATTTGTGTTTAATGATAATAACTCTTTTATATTGACAAAATACCAAAATAATTTCTAGGAGAGGATATATATATATATATACCAAACGATGAATGTTCTTTAACCAAGTTCATTCATCATCGAACAAGGCTTGAACTTTAGAGTAGCATGCAAGTCTTATCTTTCATGTCATGACCTATTAGATCATTCCGATTCACAGGTAGGATATGCACTTGACATGCCATGGTATGCCAGCTTGGCTCGTGTGGAGACAAGGTTTTACTTGGAGCAATATGGAGGGGAAGACGATGTTTGGATAGGAAAAACCTTATACAGGTACTGTTTTGTTCTTATCCATTCTGATTGTCCAATCACAAAACTACAAGCATTTTGTCTGAGTCAAATAAAATGATTCAAAAAATAAAACTGCAATTAACTGAGTTAAATGAAATAATTCAAATAAACAACAGTTTAACTCTGATGGAATCTTAAACATGGATTCTGCAACGCGCAGAGTCTTTCAAGTACAAAATACCTCTTCTTTTGATGTATGGTCAGGATTTCACAGGACTCACTATGCTGCTACTATCTGTCCCTAATCCCAAATTTAACTAAGAGAAACACTTGGGCGAGGTATATGGGCATCCGTTTATAATTGACTTGCCTTTTGTGCTAAATCTATAATTATACATATACAGATTTATGTGAAAATGATTTATATAATCGACTCCATTTGATTGGGATGTAAGATTTAGTTTAATTTGATTATATAGATATATATGTGTGTCAATGGATTCACATGTGAATTTATATTAAAATACTTAACTCTAACTGAATGTAAAACTCAGAAGGCAAGTGTCATACCGAGATAGGAAATCAAGTGTTCCTTGAACTCTACAAAAATTGTCTTTGATTGTGGGTTGATATGATCGGCACCTATTTAGAGTCTAAAGATAAAGGACATGAAATTTGGAAGTTTGTGTATGTAATTGAGTTATAAGACATATTCTCCAAACCTCATGCAGTGTATTTAATTACATGCTAATCACTTATAAACAATACCAATATATCAAAAGCTTTGAGTATTAGTTGTAATTAGTGTTGGTAGTATCTTGTAACACTTTTAAACAAAAAATAAAAAATTCTGGAGCTTATTAATTTCTGAATACAATTATAAATTGAATATTGTGCATTGATTGTGAATTAGTTTTTAACGAAAATGTGGCAATATTGGTCCACAGGATGCCTTATGTTAACAATAACATCTATCTGGAGCTTGCAAAATTGGACTACAACAACTGCCAAGCATTGCATCTGCTGGAATGGGACTCCATTCAAAAGTATGTTTCTATAAAACCCCAAAAATAAAAATAAAATAACCCAATTTAACCAAAGTTATCGGTGATATTATCTGGTGCAGATGGTATACAGAATGCAACCTAGGAGAGTTTGGGATGAACCAAAGAAACCTACTTTTGGCATATTATTTGGCGGCGGCGAGTATTTATGAACCGGAGAGGTCAAAAGAGAGGGCAGCATGGGCTAAAACAGCAACCTTGGTGGAGACGATTGTGTCCTATTTTGAAGAGGAGGGAAGTTCTGTTGAACAGAGGAGAGCCTTCCTTAATGAATTCAAAAACAGTGGTGGTCATCATCAACTAGACTATGTGAATAATGGAAGGTATGTACTCAATCCACCAACTCTTAATTCTACTTCCTATAATTTATTTAAATATAGCGATAGTGAACCCCTACTATTAAAAAAACAAAGTATCATCAAGTTACATTTTAATTATAAAAATGCTACTATCCTAATGTATTAAAATTTTAAAAGAATAATATTTTATCAATTCACATAAAAAAAAAAGTTACAGTTTTACATATAAATTTATGGTTTCACTTGCAGTAACAGTAAAGTAACAAGAGAAGGGAAAGGACAGAAACTGATTCGAACACTGCACGAAACCTTAAACCAGCTCTCTTTGGATGCAGTAGTGGCGCACGGCCGAGACATCCGCCACCACTTGCATCACATTGTAAGTTATACTTTCTTCTCTTCAAAATTCATCTACTCAATAGTGCTAAAAAAATTTATCATAAATTCTATCATAAAAAAATATGTGTGATTTAAATTTAATTATTACGTGATAGAAACTTTTAAAATAAATCTAGATCACATATTGTCGTTAATAAAAATACCAATAATGTAACTGATTTTGGCGTTTTTTTGTTTTTTGTTTTGTCAAAGTGGGAAATGTGGATGATGACGTGGCAAGAAGAAGGAAAGCGATACAAAGAAGAAGCAGTACTCCTAGTGCGCATGATAAATTTGTGCGCCGGCCGATGGGCACCTGAGGAGTTACTGCTATTGTCACAATATCCTCAGTATAGGCGTCTCTCCGATCTCACCAACAATGTCTGTCACCAAATTCGCATGTTCCAACAACGGCCACATCGTAACAAGGTAAAATTTCTAAAGAGAGTTACTTATATATATATTTTTAATTTGTAATATTTAAATTGTGTTAATTTAATTTTTAATGTATAAAATGCATTTTACTTTTTCCCCGACCGAACTCCATCAGTAATCAATCTAAAAAAAAAAGCTCCATCAATAGAAATCATTAAATGCCTACTTTTGGAGATGACAGATCACATATTTTGAAAATGAAAATTAGTTTTTTGTGAGTTTTTATCTTAATAACACATAGGAAAATGCGGAGGACCCCCAGTAAAGGGCGACCCCCAGCGACCCCCAGCCCACGTGGCTGTGGGTGATTGGCAGGAAAGGAAAAAAAAAAAGAAAACTGACGAATGGCGTTGCGTCACGTCACTGGGGGTCGACCTCCAATGGGGTCTGTAGCAGTGTTGTAACACATATTACTTATTTTAAATAAAAAAATTTAAATGAATTTTTACATTTATCATTGACTTTAATGGTATTTATTGATGCAGTTAGATTCACAGACGAAATAAAATTACTGTTTATACATTAAGAACTAAACTAACATAAATAACATGCTTTGAAGATTGAAAATATAATTACCCTTATTTATTTATCTTCATTTTGTATATGTTCACTTCCACTTCTTTGGAGGGCCATGCTGTGATTAATTTTAACATTAGAATTTTATTAAAATTTTTTGAGGCCTCTATCGTTAAAAAAGTGGGTCTCTGACAATAACAATTTAAAAAATATATTTTAATAGGTCACATAAGTAGTCTAATAGTTGAGTGATTACTATAGAAGAAGCTAATGATTATTTTATTTTTGATTTTGAATTTTGTAAACGTGGACACAACAGGGTGGTGATGAGAAAAAGGACAAGAGCAAGACAAACAGTGAGGAGATAGAGGCGGCAATGCAAGCATTGGTGCAAATGGTGGTGTGTCATGACACATCAGATGGGATTGACCCAGATGTCAAGCAGACCTTTCTTACAGTTGCAAAAACTTACTATTATACCTTGCACCGTAACGCTGGGGCTATTTATTTTCACATTGCCAAAGTACTCTTTGAGAGAGTTGTTTAATTCTTTTCTTGCCCAATTTACTTTCTTTCTTGCTAGCTACTATATATATATATATATATATTTATATTTGCATATTCCTGTTCATTATTAGCACAAACAACTAGTTTGATTGTATATATTATGATTTAATGTTATAATAACTTAAATTTTACATTAAATTTTGCTTGTTATTTGACAGAACTCTTTACATATCATTTAATATATACATCAATATAATATATAGATTGTAAGATTACTTATAAATATTAGTCATCACATTATTCATACGCTCAATTTGTCTAGGCAATTTTTTTTTTTCCTTCATATTTTTTGACATTTGGTATAAAGAAAGTCAATGAAAAATAAATTTATTTAGACAAAAAAACTATTCTATTTTTAAAATGTGAAATATATATATATATATATTAGACTAAATTCTTATCAATGCCACCATTCTATAATTGCCACCATGACACCATATGCCATCCTTACCCCGCCACAGTTGTTTGCTAAGAACATTTATCACTTTTTCCTTTGGGTCATATTTTCTTGTTAAATTTTTCAAATTACGTTAACCGAACTATTCATTAGGTCAAGTTGAGTATTATGTAGTCTTTCTTAACAAGTAAAAATTTAATATAATGATAACATCACGTCATCAGTAACATATATGCATAGTTGAACTCCACTCATTAAAAGTAACTAATAATTAAGTAATTTTTACATCTATATAATGGAATTAACTACGTCTACATGATAATTTATTATTAAACAGTAAGATCACTTGTGTAGTAGAATTAGTGGAAGACAACAAAACAACTTTAGAGATAAGATATACCTAAAACAAACCAAATAAAAAGGTTCCATGATATCAATGAAGATAGATAGGTCGATCCACAAATTTAGTTGGATTGGTGGATACATATGGATACCATATTAAGTTGCTTTCCTCTAATATGTGTATGTGGAAATGGCAGGCAAAGTAACTATAGAACATGTTACTAGTTGGTTCTTTCTCTGATCTTCTCAACGAAGGTGGAGATCCACCATATCACACACTAATAAAAGATTGTGTTTAATTTCCATTTAAGAGAGAAAAAACAATAGATATATAAGAAATTTCAAGTACCCCTACTTCGGTCATTCTTGACAATAGAGATACGTTTACAAATTAGATTCATAACTAGAAAATTATAGTCATTATTTAGTACTTATGGAGTTTATGACATTATTTATGTGGTCCTAATCAATAATGTTATTTTTTTTTATAATAGATCTCATTTTTTTGTTATGGATAAGATTAATACTATTAGAAGATAAGTTGAGACAGAATAGATTGAGACGGTTTGGTTATATACAACAAAGCCCAATGGTGACGGTAATAAAGAAATGTAATACAGTGACGATAAACAGAAGTGTTGGGGAAAGAATAGACTTAGATTGATGTGTGCAAGTATAATAAATAAATATAAAAATCTTCTTAAATGGCCATTAATAGAGTCGAGTGGAGAAGAAAATTCATATAGCCGATCACATTTGATGAAATTTAAGACTTAATTTAGTTTAGTTATATCTCATATACATGTGAGTAATTAATAAATTAAGTTGTATATCTTTTTTTGTTTTGTTTTTTGTAAGTTTTATTTTTTAATTCTCTTTCCGAAAAGAAAATAGAGAAATAATGAGCAAAGTCCAAAATGATACATTTACGACACAAGACCAGAGTTCTAAGTACAAATTACATTTTAAAAAGCATAAAATTTTGAAGCGTAAGGCATGTCACAAGCCATTTCGTGATGACATATAGGGGTGTTTTGAAAAGTTTGTAAAAAATTAAATTTTGATTTTTTTAATTTATTTTATTTTTTTATAGATAAATTATAGGAGAAGTAATGTGACTCAAAATTAATAAAAAATTAAAAACTAACTTTTTAACAACTTATCAAAAGAGTACATATATATATTATTATTATATACTGTAATATGTTTACTTTATTGAATGGAAATCAAAAATCAAAATTATTGTAGAGCATATATAGAGTGGTAAGCACTTGTATGAGTGACTTTGAGATATGTGTTGGAATCCTACATGACCAAAGTAAGAAGATTGATGTGATCTTATATATATCAATTATATTGTATATTACCTGTATATTATATAAAGAATTAGAGATTTTTAATTCATAAATTTTGTGAGAGTTTTAATATTTTAATCTTAATTTTTTAATTTTTTGATTTAAAAAATAATTTCAATATTTATTAATTTTTTCAATTTACAAGTCTTTTTGACTTTTCTCATAGTTATTGTAACACTCTTTTCAATTTCTTCCATACACTATGATTAATGATGGGATTATTTAATTATTTTTATAAAAAATCTAAAAAAAATAATTTGTATATTAAAAAAATATCTAAACTAAATATAAATATCTATATATATCAATATATTATATAAGAAAAATGAAGTTTCTAATGAGAAGTCTCCGAAGAGCTCCAAACTCTCATTCTAAAATTATTCAGTGTGTTTGGTTTCAATTTTATGAATTCAATTTTCTAAAAATTGAGTTTTTTGTTTATTTATTTATTTTTTTAGTGAATATTTTTAAAATTTTAAGTATTTTTTTACTTTTTCAAATGCGGCTTACTTAAATATATCTAAAAAGTAAAATATTTGTGAGAAAATATTTTTAAAAATTAATAAATGCACAAAAATATAAAAAATATACTGAATTTTTATTTTTTTTTTGTATTTTTAATATTTAGTGAATTTTTTAAAGATTTTTTTCACAAAAATTATACTTTTTGAGTGTACTTATGTTAGGTGTATCTAAAAATTAAAAAAATTGCTTAAAATAATAAAAAAAACCAATGAAAACAAAAAAAATACGAAAAATAAAAAAATAGAATTTTCTAAAAAGTGTTTTCTGAAAACCAAACCAAACAAGCTAATTGATTTTTCAATTTATAAAATAGATTAAAAAAATATATTGGTTGATTTATTTATTTAATTATTTTAAAAATAATAATTATTCATTAATTTATGGATTTCAAATGGAAAGATAACAAAAATATTTCATAATCTATCCATCATAATCTCTCTCACCAATTTTCAAAAAAAAAATATTAAAACTTGCATTCATTTTCTCTCATCCAAAAAATCAAATAATATTTTTCATGAAAGTTGTGGGTATCTATCTATATCTTATATATTATATTATAACATAACCAAAAAAAATTAAAATCAAATATACAAACAAATAAAATTAAAAAATTTATTTTTATGTATTCAGTTAAAATATTTTTTTTGCCTCTCAATATCAAATTTTAAATTTTAAAAATCTACGAAGTCTATCTAAACAAATCTGATTTGAAAATATCTCCAACTATCATATTTCAAATCAATAAAACTCACATATCTATCACATATTTAACTCGCATAATAACTTACCTAAATAATAATAATTAAAAATAAACAGAAATCACAGATAAATTAAATTTTTAAAAAAATAGAAACCTACAACTCCATCCAAAATAAATTGAAAAAAAATCAAATAAAAACCACACAAAAATAAAAAAGATAAGAATTTATATATGGATCTAAAAAAGATAGAAGCATTTACATACAAGTCCCATTTTGTGAACTTATAATCCTGTTGATTTTTTGGCTTTCGAAGGTTATTTTTGTAATTGCGAGCGTGCCGGGAATGCATGTATCAGTCTACAAGCTTCGAAGGTTATTTCCTTGTTGAGTTGTCTTGCTGTGTTCAGTCGTAGGCTCGATACCCGGTCAAGAGCTCATTTATCAATTCCAAAATAAAATCGTTTTGTGCTCTGAGTGCCGTGCTGTTCTCTACATTGGTATAAAGAAAAAAGATTCGTTCTTTCGTAAAACTGCAGGGTTCAACCTAGGTCACGTCAGAACAGTAAAACCAGGACTTGTCTAAAGCTATATGAGTTCCAGACTGCAAAGCAAAAGCAAAAGAGGAAATGTCGAGCATCTGAGTTTGTTTCAACTTCAGTAAGTTCCGAGACTACATTCCGTGTGTACCTCTTCAGGTCTTGCCAATGCTCCGAAGTATGAGTGTGCCTCTACCTCAAGCTCAAGATCAAGTCTGCTTCAAGCCAGAATGGCGATCAAAAGTGCTCTCCCTGAGTACCATTCCCTGCCAGAGGCATCTTGGCTAGAGAGATAAACCGAGAGACAAGAAGAAAGAGATGGCTAGAGAAAGAGAAACACAGAGAGCAAACTGACCTTGAAATCACAGTGATGCTATAGCTTGCTGTCGTCAATACGCTGCCAGGGAGATGAACTCTAATACTTCGCCAAAGCAATGTTGTAGACTAGGGCACAAATTGTGAGTTGAACGGTTTTTTTTTTTTGGATTGAATTTCTGATATGTTATTCACCAAAAAAAAAAAAAAAAAAAGAATCCGCGCGAAATCGGAGTTGAATTTGGCGGGCCTTTATTTTGCTGGGCTTTTAGTAACGGTTGAGTACAAACCGTCACTATAAAAAAATATATGGCAGCGTTTTATGAAAAAAATGCTACTAAAACTTTAATTTTTAGTTGTGGTCAATAACTGTTACAATAGCCCATCTATAGCAGCATTTTTAAGGCCGCTGCAATAAAAAACGCTGCTAAAACTTGATTTTTTTGTAGTGTATCCATCACACTCGTTCACTAAGTGCATCTATCACACTTTGTGTTCATTTTCAGTATATCAATCATACTCCGTTCACTATCACACTTTGTGTTCATTTTCAGTATATCAATCATACTCTACTCACATTGTGCATCTATCACACTTTGTGTTCATTTTAAGTGTATCCATCACACTCGTTCACTAAGTGCATCTATCACACTTCGTGTTCACTTTTAGTGTATCAATCACACTCTGTTCACATAGTGCATCTATCACACTTTGTGTTCGCTTTCAGTATATCAATCATACCCTGTTCACTAAGTGCATCTATCACACTTCGTGTTTATTTTCAGTATATCAATCATACTCTGTTCACTAAGTGCATCCATCACACTTCGTGTTCACATTTAGTATATCAATCATACTCTGCTCACATTGTGCATCTATCACACTTTGTGTTCATTTTCAG